TATTCTGGATTATGAAGGCAGGATAGTAAAATATTTTCACTGAGTCAGACTCTACTGATGACTGTGCTCCGCAAACAAGCTTTCCAGGCAATGGCCAATACAGAATAATTTGTTCAGCCGACTGACTTTTGGTGGTGGTTAATCTTTGATGGAAGGATTAGCTGATTTAGAAGCCCTCTGTATCTTCGTTTCCTGCCTGATGGGGCACGCTCATAGCCAGCTGAAAAGTCCCTGATTTTCATAAGAAGCAGGTTTATCTGCTAGCGTGAGATGTCTTTTATATTCTGGGCCAGCCCCTATCTGCACAGATGTGAATTTGAGATAATCAATCACGTTATCTTTTGCTGATGCATATTAGCTCTGCTTCTGCTGGGGGAGGCGACAAACAGAAGGTACAATGACCCATATGGGCTTGGAATTCCACTGAAATTCCTGGGGGAATTCCACTGAAATCGAAGGCGTTCCCGTAGGGATACACTTGATCCATTATTTTCAGTCAGAACCTCTTTCATCTTTTCCTCTTCTGTGCCCCATCTGAAGCCATTAGGAAGGGGAATTTGCTGGCTGTAGGGTAGAAAAGCTGGAACCTCCTGCCATGGCAATACTAAGGCTGCTCCTTGCACACCTTTACAGGGTGCAAAGGTGGGTTTCCGGGGTCAGCTGCTCAAGAGACCCGGATCATCTTTTTGCAAGAGAATAACGTCTAAAATTCGCCAGCTGCGTGGTTTCTGCCATGCCACGTACTTCGTATTGCAGGTGACGTCCCTGCATTCTCGGTTCAGGTTGTTCCTCTTGGATACAACACACAGGAGATGCTGTTTTCCTTAATAGAAGATTTACCCGGGGTTGCTTGGGTCCTCAGCTTATTTTTTTTCTTTATTTAAATCAGTGCTCTGGGGTGGGGGTAGGGAGGAGGGGTTCAGGATGTGGCTGCCCCCCCACAGCATGGGGCCAGGTGAGAAGCACCTCTCCATGGCTGCTGCACTACAGCCTGGGGGAGGGGTGCATGTCCCCGGTCTGGGGCAGATTCAGGTTCATCTGCTCCCTGCGCTTCTCAGCCAGAGAGGGGAATGGAACAAACTGAGCTTTTCCCTGGATTCCTGACACGGGAACAGCCAGCAACGTTCCCATACGAATCGGGGGTCAGGGAAGCAGCTTTTCAGCCTCCCCCACACACACGGGAACAGCCAGCAACGTTCCCATATAAATCGGGGGTCAGGGAGGCAGCTTTTCAGCCTCCCCCACGTTCCCTAAAGGGCACATAAGGGCTGGGAGGCTTAGGGCTGGGACAGTCCAGGACCCTTTTCACCTGCCTGGTGATTTTTCTTCTTCATGAGCTTTATGCTACAGCCCTCCCTCTCTCCTCTCCCTGCCCCCACCCTGCACTATCAAACCTTGACCTTGCTTTCAGTTCTGATAAGAGGAAGCTTCCTACTGAATTTGGTGGGCCTAGCGCTTACCGTTCAGGAGAAGTTCTTGCCCAGACGGACAGACATGCTCACAGACAGACAAGCTCAAATACAGAGGAGATTTGGACTGGCCCATGGAATAATCTGAACTCCATGGGTTTTGTGGAAGTCTGAGCACCGTTGGCTGGCACTTGCTCTGAGCGGTGCCTTGCCCCAAGCCCAGACAGAACTGGCAGAAGGCACGGATCCCTCAGCAAAAACACCCGTCGCTCCTTCTGCTTACCATGGCCGCAGTGAAGTAGAGGCCAGACACTCTTAGAGCTCCCAGGCCGGGCAGGCAAAAGCTGCTATGTTCCAGCAGCAAAGACAAGAGAGGCGGGGTCTAAAGACTAGCACTTTCTGCTGGGCTCCAATGTGGACTCATTAGGTGGATCACGTCCCCGCTTCCTGCCTCAGTTTCCCCACCTAAGAAGTGGAGTAATGATGTTTTCCCCTCCTCCTTGACGCCCTTGGAGATCTCCAGATGAAAAATCTCTCTCAAAGGCGACATGTTAAGTATTTTTATAGAGCCGTTGGGTGCCATAGATAAATCTGGTTTGTCTAGTAGTAGCTCCTACCCTAAAGAGCTTATAGGCTACACAGACAAGCTAGAAAAAGGATGGGAGGGGGAGCAGAGGTACCAGAGTGAGGAAGTGACTTATCCAAAGTCATGCAGTAAGTAGGTCTCTGGCCCAACTGGGGCTGGATTCTTTGTCTGCGGTGCCCTGGAGTTTAGAAAAAGCCACCTCTGAAAAGCTGGTAAAATCAAACTGAGAGAGAACTTGGTTGTGTTGCTGAGTTAGGCTTTAATGCTGACTCGGAGGAAAACAGTTCAGAGTTCAGAATGAATTATCCGTTCTTCCAAAGTGCAGTCTTCAGGCAGATTACAAACACTGGAGCTCAGTTTCTCTTCAGTCAATGGTTACTTCAAGCTGCGCCGTATGTGCGCCAAGACTGTGATTAAGATGAGAGAATAGTTTTACATTGGCTCCAAACATTTTTCTTAGCCAGGGTAAGTTTATCAGATTGAAAAATTTCGGCCAGCCATAAGTGCATTTTGTTTGTGGTCCACGGAACCACAAGAATTTTCTCCACCCTCTTAGGTTAATGAGACGCGAGATGTGATGCAATTGCTGAGCAAAGAAAGAGTTTTGTATCTGACTCGGTCCCTTAAAAACCTTTAAGGTTCTAGCCTCAGAATCTTTTTTCCTCAGCGCAGAAATGCTTAATCTTTGATGTGACTTGACTAGGTTAACATCATTCTTAAAAGAGACATGAAAGACATTGTGGTTTGAAGGGGGATGCAAATTTATTTCCCCCCCTGCAGTATTACAACAAAACTCAAAGGGAGGAAGGAGGAAGCCCTGCAGAGAAGGGAAATGGAGAAGAAAGAGGGAGGGTTTCTCTTTGGCAGTATTTCATTTTGCTGCTGTCATTTCTGTAAATTACTGCAAAAATTGGACCATAGTCTCCTCTGGAGTGCATCTGCTGAGCCTGAAAATTAATCCAGCCTACGCATAGGAATTGAGCAATTATTGGTTGTTAGTGTGGCAAATCTAATTTCTTTTAGGGTTGTGGAACAGAGAACAGAGGAACTGGGTGAGGGAAACTCTGGGCAACTTTTATCAGAGCTAAGCTGTGCTTGGTCATACCATTATAGATCCCTGCCTCAGTCAAGAGCATGCTGTGGAAATGTCAAGTGTAATTCTTGGATGCCCAGAAAACGAATACATTAAATTACTAATTAAGTAACTAAATTACTCCTAAAGTAAAGTACAGAGGCGCCTCACCTTCTGTTGACTTCAGTGGTACCCGAGGATGTACAGAACAGGGTAGATTTAGGCTTCTTTCAACTAGCAGCATATTTTTTTTCCTGTGCAAAAATATTTTGGCAAAAAA